GGTGGAGTAACGCAGAGGTTTCAGAGATCTGCACATTGTAGAGGTGATAAAGGAGAGGATTGTCTTCATGCAAAACAGCTTCCTGAATATGAAACTTGGATACACAGAGGGGATTTTTTTAGTCTGGATGGGTTCCAGATGTGGATCTTTGTTGCGTGTCGTTCCCTATTTCTGGGATCTTTCTACTATAAGATACTAAAAGATCAACCACATGCTCACAATACAAAACCAGTTCAACATAACCGAGCTGTCTTGTTGCCGCTCACACAAATTCAGTCCTGCTCACTCACACTGTGCAGTCAGAGGGTGGCAAATGAGAACTTCTTGCACCGATTGTGGAAAAACCAAAGGATGCTAAACTGACCGTATGACAGCAGCTCAAGTTAAAGTGCAATTCAAACCCTAAGACCAGCAGCTGTAGCTTCGACCGTGCTGAACGACAAACAGATTGAGGCTTTTGGAGACCGTCCATAGCACACCGGTAAACATAAACAGGCTAAATAACGGCCTTGTTACTGTGATCATTAAGATGACGCACGGTTTGAAACTCTGATGGCAGCTCAGTGTTTCCAAGTCCTCACATTCTCCTCATCACCCACCTGTTACCATTTCTGTTGTTCCTTGAAAAGAATCACTTTAGAAATCATGACTCAAACGGGTTCCTGCTCACTTACATGGACACATCATGCATTAGTCGACACCTACACATGCTTAGAGAGCACGGAGTGGCAGCCCCTCTTTGGTCTTATTTCCTCTCCTTTTCTTTTCTATTATTTCTCCTCGCCTCTCCTCTCCCCTCCCTCCCTCCCTGCCTGCCTCCCAAAGCCATGCTCTGCAAAGGGGAGATTGACACAGCATTTTCAGCCCAGGGTGTACGAGCACGTCCAGGAGAGTGAGCACAGACGGGATTACAGTCAGCGAAGGAGGCTGCGGAGGACAATAAAGGATTAAAACGAGAGAAACGACGAGGATAAAACAATGTATGAGGAGAAACCAGAAGGAGAAACTAAAGGAAAGGAGGAATGAAAGAAATGATCACACATGAATGTGAGGCTGTGGGACCTTTGCCCTGGACAGTGAAAGTGGAATTTTGAAAAGTGAAGTGGCGGCTAACGAGGAATTCAAATTACAACCAGAAGATAACGACTAATTTTCAGGGTGAGTAAGATGTTTTTAACTCAGTTTACAATAAGTATGTCACCATCATGAGATATGCTCTGTAATAATCCAGCAAACTGATTGTTTTTTTTGCTAATTTAATACATTTATCTGACGGCTTCGCTCTGCAGATGAGCAGGTTTAGTTTTGCTTGCAGACACTTTGCTCTTTCGATGCCAAAATAAGCACTGCGTCAGACGGACTACAGCTCCTCGTGCATCACGGAAACTGCTGTGTCGTGTGTGATCAGTTGATCAGTCGCATCACTTTGTCAGTAAAACTCTTAAAGGCATCACCTGGACACACATCAGGTAGAAAATACAGGCTGAAGCAGTCGTGTTGGGGCACCTGTTGATCAGATTAAAATAGATGCATTTCTTCTTCTACTTTAGTTTTAGACTAAATGTATGCTACTCCTACGTATTTGTATATTTTCCGTTAAAACAGCCAGAAATCTGTGCTTCTGCAGCCTTCAGAAAGTGAAAAGAAAGGCCTCACAGTGTCTGGAAGAGTAAAGAGAAAGAACAGGAGACAGGAACACTATGAATAAATTATTAGCTTATGGCTTCAAAAAAGTGGGAGTCCTGTGATCCCAGCCTATTTAATAATGTCATAAACACAACTTTGTAATAAAACCTCCACTCACAAAAACATACTAAATCCAAAACATCTACAGTAGCGTACATCATCGCTGAGAAACTTTTAATGTAAAATATAAATGTGTGCTTTGTTTTTTCCTTTATATGAGGCACAAATTGGTGGATCTTGTCTTACATGAAGCAGCTTTAATTGTCTTTTCTGGAAACTATTGTCAATCAAAGCATTTTACCTCCAACAAAATGACTAATCGTACGTTGATAACAGCTGAAGTAGGTCAGACAGACATCATTCAAGTCCAAAGCTCATAAGAAAATCAAAACTTTCCTTGCAAATAAATGTAAATGCTAAACTTAACTTTTAACACTTGGTCACTTGCAGCGACATTTATTGCAAAACTACAGGATCAGCATGTAAAACCAGCTGATCCGCCGCAAAAACTAGGACATAAAGTGTTTTGCAAAGAATAAAATAGGACAATATGTAAAGGAATTCTGAAATGGAGCCAAGATGGAGGTAGTCTGGGATGTGCTGGTAGCGTAGGACTAACTCTGTGCACGGCCGACTGCTGCTCTGTGGGTTGGCTCGTGATGAACAGAGGTGAAACCAGGGTAGGATCAGCTCTCAGCTTTCAGACTCTAAAACCAAAACAGAAGGAGTGGACCTCAGTGGAACAACCGTCTCTAAAATCGTTCTTAAGCAGAACTAGAATGACATATTAATCATGCTATCAGTCATGATTTTCAGCACAGTGACAACACACATCTTTTTTTTTTCATACATATTATTACAACTGTAGAAAACATAATATAGTTCTGTGATTTTCATGTGAACAAATTTCTTTTAAAAATCCTCTTGACATACAGTTTACTTTTATTATGTCGAGGCACTGCTATTCCTACAGCACAAAACAACAGCAGTCGAGCTGAAGTGCTTCCTGGTAGAGAAGTAAAACTATCTGACTTAAGTTTAAACATGAAGGTTAAGACTCTACCGTGGTACTTAAGATGTGCAATTACACAACTAATTGAATATTAAGGAATAAAACCCAACAAAAATGAACATTTTTAATAACTATGGAGATGAACTTGACTGAATCTACAAACAAATCCAAGAATCCTCCGTATTACCCGTGAGTGAGGGTTCTCTCACTGGTTATTTTTCATGTAAGGCAGTAAACACCTGTCTATGCTACATAACTGGATGAATCTAGGACTTTAACACAACCCTTTTACAGACAGTTGTGCCCATTTCTACTTTTCAATAACCGCCAGGATATGATGGAGAATGACTAAGACCACTCTACATAATTACCCCACTAGATGCCAAACCTGTGAGGCCCTACATGGGCATGAAGCTCAGGTGTATTTACACTGAACGTATTACTGCTTTTTGAGGCCGACACTGTGTCCCATCAGTGGGCACTTCTGTATCTTAATTCAGCTTTTATCAGCTGACCCACGAGCAGCCACTAAATCTCCAGAAACTCTGCCATTGGGAGAGATTTAAAAAATCTTCAGTCCGTGACAGATGTGTGACATGAGAGGTGATGTAGAGATACAGTACAAGAGCTTTAACAGTGTTACATCTGTATGAACAATATGACTGCATAGAAAGGATCCTATGCAACTTTTGTTCTTTATTATTTCTTTAAACCAATTTCTGCTCAGATTTATTTATTTAAAAATCCACTACTTTGGTTCTTGTTCAGCTACCTTTCTCTATCTGTAGTCACTCTGAGGTTTTGAGCAATAACTGGTTAGAAATCACAAGTAACAGGTTGTTAACACTGGAGGTTAAATGTGGAAACGTTCTCTTTTAATGGAATAGATGATAAAAATCAAAAAAACCTCTTGGACGACCATGAATACACCACACATCTACAATTCACATACATAAACAACAGGGTTGCAAATAAAAATGACAATAATTAGTCAATATAATGAGAAAAAAACATTATGTTTACCCCCAAAAAACCCAAATCAAAGCATAGACATTCCTCCATATTTGAAAAAGAGGAAGCAAATCCTCAGATATGGATTCTGAAACCAGCAAATATCTTCTTAGCACTAATTCACAGAGACACAAATGTTTTATGAATGAATGAACTTCTCTCTACATCCTGAATCCCCGTCAGTTATGAGAAAATAGATAAATGAAAATAAAATTTGAAATAAATATTATATTATTAGCATTCACAGCAACAACAACAACAATAATAATAATAATAATAACTCTGAACTACCAGACATAAAGATGGAAAAACTGTATTTTTTAAAACTCTGTAATTAGTAAACTCTTGTGTCAGTTCATCAGGAAAATAAGTGAGATGAAGCCAAACCTTTCAGCCTGTGGAGCTGCTCCCTGACCCTGGTGTTTTTAACAAAGCAGAGCAGCTCCTCTCCTCCATCACTCAGCCACAGATCAGCCGCTAACAGCCCATTTAAACAGCTTTAAAGTCGTGCTGCTGCCCTTCCACCCTCCGTCTCTGACTCATGTCATAAGAACACTTAATAGCGCGTCCCACCGCCCTCCCCTCGCCGCCGGGCCTCCGGTGGCTCTCTCCGCATCCCTCCGTCCCCCAAATGCCACAGGAGACGTGTTGCTATGGAAACGGGCTCCAGTGAGAGTCCCCGGTACTACCCGGTGATCATCACCCGGTGCGTGTTGTGCTGTTTGCTACAACACTCCTCACCTGCGCCGCTCCGCCGCTCATTACAGGCGGTCAGCCTCTTGCACCGAGAGCTAGACTCCACAGATGAGACGCCGCTGGCCGGTTGGAAGCCAAAGACACCTGCGTGGAGACAGACACACACCACAAAACATCAGCTACACTCACAGCACATACAGACACAGGAAGCATCACTGGACAGGAGTGTTGTCCAAATATACACACCTATAGATGAGGTGAAATTAGTTGAAATTGAGTGAATTCACTGCTTTTGAAATGATGAAATATATGCAGAACAAAAAAGCAACAACCTCCTGCAGACCTCCACTTGCATTTGCCATCTGCTTTGTCTTATTATAATACAATAAATATAAATATAACATTTAACAGGTCACTTTGCACTTTCACCCTGTATATATACATGTATATAGTATTATTATTGTCTTTAGTTGTTTTATTCCCTTTTTGCATTGTTTGAAAATCTACATATATTTTTATTATATCTACATATATTTTTTTATTTCAAGTGTGTTTCATTCCTTATTCTTATTTATCTTATTATTGTTTCGGTGTGGAACAGGTGCACAACACATTTCACTGCACATTAGACCATCTATAACTGTGTTTGTGACCAGTAAAAGACCTTGAATCCTGTCTGGGACGTGATTTTCTTGGTATTTCCGGAAAGATAAATTTATGTCACAACAAAAACCCATTTCTGCTGCTCATGTCCTTTACTTGGTCACAGAGAGCCAACTGTAGCTGGAAAGAAACGATATTTGAAAAGAGTTTTAGCTGAATATGAGTCATTTTGTTTAGATTAAAGTACAATATAAAATAAGTTGGTAGTTTAAGTGGGTCATCAAAGCATCTGAAATGTTGAACTGCCACGTACACTCACATACAGTTCTAGGTCCATGTTGTCATATTTAAACATATGGAAAGATGAAATGTCATAAAACAAAGTTTACAGATCAGTATTGCGACACATGAAGCACACACTGATCTGCCTGCCAACCTGTACATCTGGGATTTTGAAGTTCTTACGTTATAACCACCCGTCACCGCCTGCTGTCGTTGCCCCCTCTTTCTCCTGCAGTGGTCTCCTCAGTGGTCTGAACCTCAGCCCAGCTGTGGAGCTCTGATGTTTGGGAGCAGGGCAGAGTCTGGCCTCCCACCGTGGCCCTTCACCAGTGATGACTGGTGCCATGGGATCAAGTAGAGCCAACAGGTGAGGGATTCACAGATACATGGAATAGCACTTTAACGGGACATAACTGTTTTCTAATTACGTGGTCGTGGAGGGTTTTACAAAGAACCAGCTCTGGATTTGGAGCATGAATTAATTGTGCTACTGAAAATATAACTAGATATCTTGATATCAATGTGCAACAGAAACACCATTCGTTGTTCTGAATTCTACTGGAAACTGTTTTAAATAATAGTTTTTTATTGGTATAGATTTCATGGGACACAGATTTGTTTCCACCAATAAAACATGAAGGAATCAGAAGACTTTTATTTTGAAAAAACACTATAATATCACTCATAAATGCAGCAAGCATTTTTCTTACTCTGAAATATACATATATTATAAACTACACGGTCACACAACCACTGAATCTTTTGAAAAACACATATTTGGATCCGTGTATGTTCTCTTTTATTTTGATTTATCACCTGCTGCTTGAATTTTGCGTTTTTCTTCACATAAATAACAACATTTCTGGTGCATAAAACATCATTAGAGTGCAGATGCTAAATGCGCCTCCTCCTCTAACATTCAAATGAAACCGACGTCCATGTTTGTTTGAATTTATCTGGATTTCACGTCTTTATTTTGTCATTAATTTGGACACAGCATCAGCTTCTGTGACTCTAGAATAATTTGATTCTTGGGTCCTTTCATGAAAACCCAATCAGCGCCTCCCATCAGACACCTCAGAATCAGCTGATGTTGTATCCACAACAACCTCAGTACATCTGATGAAGTCGTGCAAACTTTTATATTCGTACTATGAATATGTTCCAGATTACAGGCCGTGTGTCTGTATTAGAGAATGAAGGAGCCATGACTGGTATCAAAATGTAGGTAAAAATGAGACCTTCCTTTGTGCTCTAACTTTTTTTTTGTCCGACCAACTGCCCATCCCACATGGTGCTACGAGCCTGAAGGCCTCCAGTAAATTATCAGAAAACACATCCAGCTGCTTCTTGCACGTCTCTGTGGCTCTCTGTCATAGACTGTTGCTGAAACTACGACATATGCAATGATGCTCAAAGTGCGTTCTGGGAAAAAAAGATGTTTCGGCTTCTGACTGTGAAACCCAGAGCAGATGTAAAACTGATCAGGACAACAGAGCTCAGATGGGTTTTTTTCTGGTGATGCACGATGTTAAAATTGGCCGATACCAATATCCAATATTAAGATTTCGGATATCGCTGATAACTGATGCCGATATTCAATTTTTGTTCACACTGAAAACTGAGTATAAATAATCACTGTGAGAAACTATTCAAAAGAATCCAAATTAGACCACACAGTCTACTTTAACAAGAGTAAAACATGTTTAAACATATTTTAACGTATTTACACATATTTAAGTCCAGGACCATTTAAGTAAAAACTCCTGTGAAATAGCAGCGAAATCAAACGAAGGCGCTGATGTTAGACAATCATAAATCCGTTCACCGGACCGATACCGATATATCGGAAAAACACTAACATCTGCCGATACCGACGTGGTTGCCGATATATCGTGCATCCCTGGTTTTTTCAACCCTAAGAATGTCATGTGTCTCATGTACTCATAAAGTTATGAGGGCTCAGAAGTAAAAAAATAAATCAAAAAGTACAACATGTTGACCAAACCCTTTGGACTTGTACCGTAGCTGTAAAAGTATGAAGATGCATGTTGTCATTAAGCACACAATCAGCTGATTCTGAGCGGGTCAGTTAGAAACTTTGTCCAGATGTGGTTCACTTCACGAGGAATAACTCTTTTCTATCGTCGTCTGGTCCGGTGAAAATGGACTTCTTAGTTTGGCTCTGAGGGGTGAGTCAGGACCAGCTCAGAGATATTTACAGCAGATCATCGGAAAGGCCAAGGCCGTCCTACACTGTCCTGACCGGCGGCTCTAATAGACCACATGCAATGAAGAAAAGTGTGTCTTGTTGTATAAATGCACTGAAAATGTTCTGTTGGTACTTCAGCCGTTTAATTCTACATCACCTCATTTCTGACCTGGTTTAACTGAGGTCTAGATTTTGCTCATGGTTGATCGTATGGATTTAATTTCGTCCCAGCCGTCTAGCTGCCTGCTTTGTTTGCACGGTGTTTGGGATTGTTTGGTTCGCCACTGGATTGAAGCAGATCTCTCAAGCATCAGAGGGTTCATGATCTGGTCCGGTTCCTCATGTGATGAAGCAACATATATGCACGTCCGTCTCAGAATGGGTTGTCTGACTGACACCGACTCAGATATAATCCCATAATCTGTGATGACACCAATCCCTCTCTCATAGCTAAACTGAACTCACCTTCCTAGCTGCTAATCCTCTACGTAAAGGAGAGACACGGACTTAGTTTGGTCGGTATGTTCATTTGACCAGGATTTTGGACATTTTTAGGTAAATTGTGACGGACAATAAAATGTGTGTTTCTTCTCTGGAGTCAAATCTCTTTAAAGTGCGTCACAGGCTGATTCTTACTCGGTATCACCATCATAGTTGGTATCCCTAATGAGTCATACATTATCTTCCTATATCTCTGTCTCTGAGAGGGTTTGTCTGCACTGGAAAGTACAGAAGGATCAATAAGATTATTAGTTCTATAAGCGGTCTTCTGTTCCTCTTTTCTATACTGTACACACAACGCTGTAAACGACTTTTACCTGTTTCATCTATTTTCAGTGTTTTGCAGAAGTTTTAATAACGGCAGGATGACATGTAGCTTTAAGGTTCACTTACTTTAACTAATACTGTCATCCTCGTCCCTCTGGCAGGTACAGCATCGTGTCCGACATCATACCAGAGGAGGAACGTCAGAAGATCTCGAGCTTGGGACTCCGTAACGGCCACAGTTCACCCAGCTTCAGACAGCGGTCGTCCTACGACTCAGAAGACAGTAGGAGGAGGTCGGGAGCCTCCGCTGTCCTGACCAACACAAGGGGACGAGGAGGGATGAACAACTACAACGGGAAGATTCTGACAAGGGGCTCCACCCAAGTACGGAGCCGCTTCGTGAAGAAAAACGGACAATGCAATGTTGTGTTCACCAACCTGGAGGAACGGAGGCAGCGCTACCTCGCCGACATCTTCACAACCTGCGTGGACATCCGCTGGAGGTACCTGCTGCTTATATTCTGCTGCAGTTTCATGATCTCCTGGCTGCTTTTCGGTATAATCTTTTACACCGTCTCCCTGGCACATGGAGACTTTGCAGAGCACCCTACGCTCAAAGGCGATGGGTTTGCAGTGGGAGGGCTGCAGCATGGACCCTCTGGACAGACAGCTGCAGGGCAGACACAAAGGATGCCCTGCATCCTGCATGTCCACGGGTTTGTTGGGGCGCTGCTGTTCTCTATGGAGACCCAGACCACAATTGGTTACGGTTGGCGCTGTGTTACAGAGGAGTGCCCTGTTGCTGTGATAACAGTGGTGGTGCAGTCCATCGTAGGCTGCATCATTGACTCCTTCATGATTGGCACCATCATGGCTAAGATGGCGCGGCCAAAGAAGAGAAACCAAACCCTCATGTTCTCCAAAAACGCTGTCATTGCGATGCGTGATGGCAAGCTGTGCCTCATGTGGCGGGTGGGCAACCTGCGGAGGAGCCACATCGTGGAGGCTCACGTCCGCGCACAGCTCATACGTTCATACACCACAGCTGAGGGGGAGTTCATCCCCTTAGAGCAGATGGACCTCAACGTGGGCTACGATGAGGGCACAGACAGGCTGTTTCTAGTGTCTCCACTGGTCATAATCCATGAGATCGATAAGGATAGCCCTCTGTATACGCTAAGCCGAGCTGATCTGGAGACAGATGACTTTGAAATCGTGGTGATCTTGGAGGGGATGGTGGAGGCCACGGCCATGACCACCCAGTTCCGTAGCTCCTATCTTGCCAGAGAGGTCTTCTGGGGTCACAGGTTTGAACCCGTGATCTATGAGGACCGGGACCGCTACAAGGTGGACTACGGTCGCTTCCACAAGACGTATGAGGTACCATCAACGCCACATCTCAGCGCCAAAGAGCTCGATGAAGCGGCGAGCCGGGCCTCTTCTCCTGCCTCTCCTGCCTCTCCTGCCTCTGCATGCAGGTCCACAAAAGACCTGATCCCCAGGTCGCTGAGCGCCTTCTGCTATGAGAACGAGGTGGCGCTGAGCTGTGGGGAGGAAGAGGACGACATATTTGACTCTTCTCAGATCGGAGGGAAGGAGAGAACGGAGGAGAGGAGGACTTCAGTTTCTGTTGACTTTCAAAACATGTTTCATGACACGGCGACCATGACCTCGGGCAGTCATAACTTCATGTGTGTTCTAGACATGGACAACAACCAGATGGAGTTTGACAGCCTACAGACTGCCATCCCTCTGGATCCAGTGACCTATAAGAGCGAGCAGGAGCTCTAAGGAGCGGCGGGAGGGCTGAGTCTACCTCGTCCCTCCTCTTCCACCCAGCAAGTCGGCCCTGAAAAGGGATTTCTTGGTGACGTGTTCAGCTCTGGTCTGCATGTACAACAGCTGAAACCCCTTTTGGCCTTTTCCAGTCGTGTTTTATACTTATGTTTGTTTTTCTCCTCTCCGTGGTTAAATACTAAGAACGCTTTCTGAAATCGAAAGAGCAGAACAACAAACACACTGATTCTGCAGGCGCTGACGGGCTTTGGGCTCTCTTGTGTTCTGGTTTCATAACCAAAGGAAAGCACAACTTTAGACTGTATGTATATTTTTAGAAGTTGTAAATGATCTATATCTGAGAAATATCTATATTTTTTCTGTGAATGTGAAGAAGATATTTTCTGAAAGGAATAGAAATTCTTTTTTTTTTTCTTTTTTTTAAAGAGGACTGAGCTCAAGATTTATTTATTTAGTTTTAAAGAAGAACTGCTTTATCAATTTTTGGACAATTTGTGCTCGATAATCTCATTAACTTCAACGGTCATCATGCCTGCAATAGCTCCCTGCAAAGTCTGCTGTTTTCTCATTTGCGATACTAAACCTTTTTCTAAAAAACACACAAAACCTCCCGTTACCAAGGTATTTAACACACTTCAGTGAGAATCTGTCGTCTATTTTTTCACCAACAAAACAAAACAATCATTAAGGGGAACAGAAGAAGCTGAACGTGATTAACTTTTAACAAACGTGTAGATTTATTAGAGAGCCATCACTGCATTTTAAATCCTATGCTACAACAGATTTTGTGAATTTTAAGTGAATATGTTTAAAAAAAATTAAGTTATATTAGATTTTAGGTCCTAAAAAGAATTTATTTATTGTAATCAATTTAAAGGTAGATTTTTTGTTTACTTGATGGATCACTTTTTCTTTTTCTTTTCTTGGTTTGTTTCTTGTGGAGGTTGCAACCTGTGATAACAGAAACAACACCGAGGAGTGGCTTTAATTTTTTTTTTTGCCGCTGCTGTTCGCCAAAGGCCTGGAGTCGGAAAGTGGAACACAGAGCGCCTCTGATTTATTATGTGGAGAGTGGAACAAACACACTTCCTCAGTGTACTGTGATAGGAGGAAGGTGTGAGGCCACCGTGAAGCACAACAGGAAACAAAGGGATGAAGGTTGTTGGTGCAGTCTGTGGAAAATGTGCAATAAGTCACTGGACCTGGACGGAGAGGAGCAGTTCCAGTGTGACTGTGTGTCGGGAATGGATTTGGACTAAGCTGCTGAGAGAAGCAGATGGTATCATACAGAGAATCATAGGAAAACGCATCTAACTGATTTTGAAAAGAAAAATATTTCACTGATCGTATAATCAAATAAGGCAAATCTTACCCGTCTGGTGCTTTAGTCAGACTAAAACCAACAAACGTTTCATGCTGTAATGGTAAATGAATGTATCTTAACCTTTAGATAGGGACCAGTGCACCTAAACTTTTATGTGAATTTCTTTATCTTTTGTTGATCATATGGCTCTAGCAGGTGTGTCTATTCTGTATTTCTGTGGCTGTGTGGGACAGAGACTGACGACAAGCATCCAGTTGTCTAAATGTTCATTGCAAATATCTAGGAACAGATCAAACACAGGTGAACCTACACTGCCAGCCAAAATAAATATTACAATAGGGTTTAATTTTAAGCAATGCATTTATTATTGTAAAAACACAGGCATGATTACCTTGTAAATGACCTTAGCGTTGATCTCTCTCATTGATCTGGCTGATCACAGCTTCTCGATATCTTCAGTGTTTACGTGGGAGTCCCTAAAGAAGTTCTCTATAACATTCAGTTGTTTAAAGGTCTCATAAGACATTTACTTCTGCACTCATCGTTAACCAATAGTTGTCCAGCTCAGACTGTGATTGACAGCTCTGTGCTGCCAATTACAGATGCATGTTTATCCTGAAGGGGGCGGGAACACCATCATTGGTTTTCAGAGCAAAACAGTCCATTTGAACAGCCCCTAAAGCCAGAAATTAACCATCTTTGCAGTATTTAGAGCTGAAAAACACTCTTTGGGGACATGCGAGAAGGGGCACAATATGAGACCTTGAATGCTTAGATGCTCAGCTGATTTGCCTTATCAGGATAAGATTTCATTGATGTCGCAAAATGAGCAGACAAACTTTAACTCTCATGAGATTTTGATTAAAAATGTTACACAGACTGGTTTCCTTAGAAAGACCTGCCAGAAAGCTGCCACTAATAAAGAATAAACGTACAGGCAGAAGCACAAAAACAGAAATCTGTCTTTGCTATACCTTGTTAATCAGGTCACCAGTACATCACAGTGTTAACACAAACACGCACGCATTCAAACCTACAGTCAGTGAATCCTCGGTTATGATCTTCCATGTTTGTCCCACACAGGAAAGCAATACAGAAATGTGAAACGAGTGAAGCTGCTCACCAAAGTAGAACATGTCTGAATCCTTTTTAATCCCGTCGCTCAGAGTAAAACGCTGATAAAGAAAATAAGATTTCAGGGCCTTATTGTGCATTCAGTCTCGGAGGTGTGGTGCAGTGGGACGCTGAGAAGCTGCAGAGCCTTGTCACTACAGAGCCATACGATTAGTTTCACCTGCTCGGTGCTCCGACCTTTCGGTGGTAATTGGTGCTTTATTAGGTTCAGCGGTTGAAACATGTAGTGTTAGTATTAAAGAAAAACAAAATATGCAGTATTTGTACATTTGTTCGATATGTTTTCTGCTCCAGGTGACTATTTAAATCAATAAAATGTCGACATCTCGTATTGTTATTAGCTATTTTTTTGATTATTTCTAATGACTTTCTCAAGATTAGTTCAAAAATGTGAAACTATACAACTGTATGCTCAAAAAGTCTTGACTGGCGGTGTGTAAAAGTCTGTCTGTAATGTTGGCTTTGGATTGTATATGAGCTCATTTAACAACATTGAATTATTTTGCTGCTAAGTCTTCCTGCTGTGTATAAACCTACTGATTTTCCAACCCCTGCTTGGAGATAAACATGCACTGAGCAAACTACTGTCCTAACTAATACGATGAAACGGCAAAAATCTGAATTACAAAGCACTTTATTCTTCCTTGTGCACTTTTTGATGTTGCAAATAAACATTTATGTAAGTTTGGTTGTTTCTCCTTTTCAGAAAAATGATCAAATGCGGTTCTGAGTCGACGGAAACAGGAAGGAGCTTCGTTAAAGCTCGTCTGCACAGTTTGCCGTTCATGTCCTGAGCCACTAGATGCCTCTGGAGTCATTTCAGTGATATCATGCCTCAGCAGAAAACACTCTGGGCATGTGCTCCCTCTAGTGGTGGACTGCAGGTATTAACCTAAACCTAAAATCACGAATGCTTGGAGAAAAACCGAATAAAACTTTAATATACCACCTGAAGAAAAATATAAAAATGAGCTTTGGCCTCCATCAGTTTAGTGTCTTGATAGACTTTTTTTTTGGAGAGGGTAACTTCTTACATTGCCCTGGGTGCCACAAAAGCTCAAGGCACCATTGTAGGAAAGTAGTTAAAACGTCATCGTATTCTTTTTTTTTTTGTGCATCTTTTTTGTACCAAAGTATATTTTTTGAACCTTCAAGCACATGTGAACAACTTGTGTGGGTAAGAAAACGTGCTCCACAGAAGAGAGGACACGAGGTACCCGAGGATTTATAGCAGCATCTCTACGATTTATCCTGGTGCATGAAACAAGTTTGACGGAAAAAAAGTCTTTAAAGCGACTGTAACCGCGAGGAGGGGAAATACAAACCAGAACTAGAGCCCGTCTTGTGATCTTGGGATCACACCAGCTGCCATGCCTGTCAGCATGTTGGCATTCCAGCCCTTGAGTGCTCATGATTGGATGAGTACTTCGCACTCCACTCCTATCTTCAAATTCAGCCGTTATTATACGATTTCTACGTTACCGTGTTGACTAATTCTGTCCACAGACATGGGTTACGGATTTAAGGACAAACCAGGCGTTGCATTGTGCTGCAAGGACAGCTTCAGGGCTCCTCGGCATTGATTTTCCAAGTCTGTCCAACGTTACTGGAGGGATAGACGTCGTTTCAAAAGGCATTCATTCATCCGCTGAATGTGGCATTTGTAGTGAGGGTTCATGGATGCAGCTCTGCTGTAACGTGGCCACAGTTACAATCATTATTTCATTTATTTCAGGCACTTTTATCCAAACATTAGATAACACATTCATACACCGATGACGACTGAGTGCCTGCTCGCCACTGGGAGCAGCTTCAGGTTCAGTCTCCTGCCCACGGAGGGACGGGGCATCGAACCACCAACCTTGCTGACAACCTGCCCGGTGCATGGTTTCACAAATGTGCTTTCTTAATTCATGTCTGTGAAGATCCTCAGCCATCCAGGTCATGGTTATTCTAGTAGATTAATCGTAGCAGCTGGACTTGCTTGAGTTCCTTGAAGACGTTCCACCTCTCATCCAAGAGGCTTCATCAGCTCTGACTGACTAGCTGGGAGTTCCACATACTGATATCCTGAGTGTCGGATTCAGTTGGGGGTTTGTTGTTCCTCCCCCTCGTTTCTTAAATTCATCTTTTCAGCTTGTTAGGTCAAAGGTCAGCCCGACTATAACATACAAGCTTAAATGAATTACCAGGAACTTAAAGGCACTGCTGGGATTCGAACCCAGGATCTCCTGTTTACTAGACAGGCGCTTTAACCAACTAAGCCACAGCACCCACGATCCTACTGACACTCTGAGGACACAAATCACTGTCAACCACCGTTCCTGACCCTATTCACTGACATCTCTCTCATAAATCTAAACGTAGACGCCACTTTAGTCACCGTTCCTCCTGAAACACTAGCGAGGTAAGAAGTCTTTGTGTAGTTCCACAATAATGGACTTGCTTCGTCAAAGCCACTCAGATCTTTTCTTAATGCCACCTCGGTACTAAGTCAGAATCAACTGGGTTTGCTCAGTGTTTTGTTATTTTCATA